AACACGTCCTGTAATAGTTGTCACTACCGGTGCTCGACTTCAGTGGACTCGAGTAACAGTAACTGCCGTTCAGATGGGCGTAGAACTGGTGCTCCTGTATGTCCTCAACGGACACGTCCGACACATCGGCCCAAACACTCGCCATCACTGCCATCACTACCAATACGGCCATCAATTTGCAGTTCATTTTATTGTCAGTTTTATTGATCTATTCAAATACATAATTAATTAATTAAAACTTTTATTATTATAATTATTACATTCATTACTGTACCACAAGTACCACATTTATTTTAGTTAATAAATTAGTAAGAGATATTTAAGAAAATTACAATACAGTAGTATCCTGGTTGATGATTTGGTCATTGTTTTGGTCGTATTTCTTATATGCTTAATAGAGCATAGATTTAAATTACAACAAAATATTCTTGAAGATTTTTTAGGCAAACATTAAAACACATTACGAGGTTTCATATTGTAACTTACTATGTTTACAACATAAATGTATAATATTCATATTAATAAAAATCATTAATAGTAAACAAAAGTTGTGCTAGCTTAAATCTTCTTTAACTTTATTATTTTAAAGAATATAATGCAATATTTAAAGTATTGTTATTTAGTTTTAATATAATATAATTTTAGTATTTTTTCATTAGGACGTTTAATTTTAAAATCTTTTATTGGTTTAATTATTTCAAATAGAAATACATTGATTAAATAAATAAGTATTGAGTGTCTGAACCAAAATTCAATCGATTTGTAGACATTTAAATTCAAAGACAAATCATGAAACAGGTATACTTTCCCTGAAGTATAACACATTTGTATTGATAGGTACACCCAATACGAGCCATTAGATTGTGTTGTTGTCCAGAATAACAGTAACTGCCGTTTATAAGAGCCATCATCTCATTCATGTCCTTCACGTCAACCGAGTCATCCACAGCCCAGACACCGGCCATAACAACAATCACCACCAAAATTGTCATTAATTTAACGCTCATTTTATTAGCTATTAAATTGTTTAATTAATACCTAAAATAATAACGGTTATATAAGGTATAAATAATAAAATAAAAATGTATTCTTAGTAGTCTTACCTTAAGGTTAGTATTATAAAAGTGTTTAATGTAATGGTTTTTTGTTTTGACTTTTATATTCATTTATGATCCGGTTACTATTTATAAAACTATGAAATAATTTATTGCGAAATGCAATGCTTACTGATTTATATCCAATATATCAGTCACAAGAATCTTTAAATTTTGTTTAGTAAATAAATAAATAAATCTTTATCATGTTAAATGAGTTTATTTTGTGTGACACAACTTATAAGACTTAGTTACTATTAAAGTCACTTTTGTCTGTTAATAATCACAATGTAATTTGTTATTTATAAAAAATAATTATTTAAATTAATGGTATTTTGAATACTCGTTTTCATATTTAAAACAGTGTTATTAATAATAACTTATCTATGTATTTTAAGTTATAGTTCAATACACTTCTATTTTATTATGTTATCTTAAATTAGGTGATTACTAAAATCATAGCATTACAGTACAAGATATATGTTGTATAATAACATGAATAGGATATCAAAAAAGATTTATTTAATAATATTTGATTAACATTGACAAAATATTTACAAATTGCAATATTTTAGTTTACTATATTTAATATAATTATATTTCCAATAAGCAAACTTTGTATTTAAACTAATAAATAATAATTAATAAATTTCTAAGAACTCAAGCTAAATAATAGGATGTCAAATAAAAACTTAATTTTAATATCAATATTATGTAAATATAAAGAACCTGTATAATAAATGATTATATGAGATATGGATCACAAAAAGGATTTGAAATCTAATATAAAAGGAGTTTCAATAACCACTTATAAATCACTAAAACTTATTAATCAAACTATTATTTCTGAAAAAGACGTTATTCAAAATTAATAGCAAAAATGAACTGCAAATTGATGGCCGTATTGGTGGTGATGGCAGTGATGGCGAGTGTTTGGGCGGATGTGTCGGACGTGTCCGTTGAGGACATACAGGAGCACCAGTTCTACGCCCATCTGAACGGCAGTTACTGTTACTCGAGTCCACTGAAGTCGAGCACCGGTAGTGACAACTATTACAGGACGTGTTGGAAAGTCTGTGTCGGACGGGTTTGTTACACGAAGTGTCAATAATATCACACAATTGTGACAAGTTTTAAATTTATTGAAATTTCATAAAACGTCGATTTATAATTTATAGCATATTTTATCCGGTTTAAATACGAATATAAAAGTGAATTAATATTATACATATAATTTATTATATAATCAACTATTGTAAAAATTATATAATAATTTTGGTGTATTCATATAAATTTAATAAAATATGTGACATTATAATATAAAGTTTTATGATTTTCGTGATCTATTTATTATTTGTTTATTTAATATTATTTATTAGAAAATTTAATTTTAATATTTAAAAGAAATAAAACTTATTTTTGCAGATTATCAATTAATTTATTATAATCATGGCAACCTTTTAAAGGTAAACTATTGATGCATTTTAATTTTTAATTTTTAATTTAAAAATATTATTTTTATGAATTCAATATGATGATAGTAGATAAAGATAAATTTAATTAAACATGTTAATTTATGATACGTGTTTATAATAAAAGTAACCATTTCAAATGTTAATACAAATATATTCACCAATGTACACTGTAAGTGAAATAATAAAACCAAATGATAGCATATAAAGCACACCAATTGTATGTCTAATAGAAATTTGTTCAAACTCTTTAATATCGCTCAAATAAAATTCATTAAAAAATTTCAATTCCCCGATCAGTTTGTTTAATAACTGCAACCACTGGTTATACAGTCCACTTTCTGTGATTTGTGTGATTCTGTTAAATAGAAATAAATAATTTGTTAAATATTTCCTAGACAAATTAACAATAATATTACTGACAATGTATTCAAAGGTTTGAGTACATGATAGGCGTGTGCTTTATTAACCATCAAAAAGTACGGCAAAACCCCACCGCCATCACGTGATATATGAAACTTGTTGGACAGACTACTGGTGCCGTTTGAGGCACTCCTAAATGAGAACATCAAGTCCCACAGGTTGTGCACATAGGCATACTGTCCACTATTTAGGTAATCCACAAATAACTGCTTGAATTTTGGCGAAGAATTTGGTCTCAAAATTGTAATTCTGTTACGAAAATTCTGAGCCATTGGTGTGTTTTGGGTGTAGGCATAATGAACTAGCTCATTATTACTATACACCATTATTTTGATGTCCGGTTTGCGGTAGAGGTCTTCCCACGAGTCAATCCTGTCCTCAGGTATGGGTTTAATCATGTAATCCAATAGAAAACTACAAAACTCTATGGATGTGAGGGTCACTAATATTAACCACAAACCGATCAATACTTTTGTAAAATTGTTATTAATTTTAATGCAATTTGGGATCGATTTTGATATTAAAAGTATGAATAAACTCCAACAGTAGTGATAAAAAATGTTTAATGTTTTGTGCCCAACATTACACATTAATAGTGAACTAATAAGCAGTAATGATATAAATAGTAAAATCCAAAAATAATGATCAAAACATTGAAAATATTGAAACAGCGGTTGTTTTCCCGCAAACACGTGATAAGCAATACTTCCCATTGAGTTGAAGCCAATTGTATTTGTAGGCAATATATCGACTGTAAAATTGGTTACATTTGTAAACTTTTCTTTAAAATATAAATAATTATGTGAATCGATATCCATAAGCCATAGGTAGGGGGCATTGGTTTTCAATTTGGCGTAAAATTCATCCGGACCCTTCCATGGCGGGATGTATTTGTAACTAAAAGCATTAAATATTGTAATCATATCATGGTATTATACAAATTAAGATCTAACCCAAGATTATGCTTATGAATGAATTCCTTGAATATCATGATTAGTGGCCCACAAACCAATTGCTGTCCATTTATAACGGGGAATACATTGGGGAGTGTTATGTCCGGTTGTATCGATACTATACTACTATCGCTAAAATTATTGACTGATTGTGAGTAATAATCGTTTGGTAAGAGACACTCTTTTCCAATCATTTTTGAAATATAATTTAAGATTTTACTTATTTATTACACTTTTATTTCGCACCACTCAGAGAATATGAGAAATAAACATTTCAAATAGATTTTTGCAAAATGTCCTCAATATTTAAATACAATGATTTACACATTAAATGTATAGAAATGATTAATATTGATATTTCTGTCAATACACAAGAAAAGCTACTCTAAATGTACAAATTCATATTATGTATGTCATATTATGTAATAAATTGTTTACCATAAGTGAAATATTAACTTAATTTTTATTGATTACGTAAATATCAACATGATTAATATGAGTACTGTACTAATAAGTATTTTCTTATTAAAATAAAGTTTTGTATTAATAACAATTTTACTTATAGAATACAACTACAAATGCCATGATATTCATAGTAAAAATATTATAATCTATTAAATTATTTATGACACTTAAATAAAGATCATTTTATTGAAATGTTAAATTCCTATGGTTGTAAGGATATACCATATAATAGAGATTTATGCAAAATATTGTAAACACTCTTACTTTATGAGAAGTAATGATATTTTCACAAAATAACACTAAACATGATATAAATGTACCACAGATTAATAAATAAAATAAATCAATAGTATGTCGAATTGATATTTCTTCAAAATTCTTAATATCGTTTAAATGAAATTCATCATAAAATTTTAAACCCCCGATCAGTTTAGCAAATAACTTCAACCAATGATTATACAGCCCACTTTCTGAGATTTGTGTAATTCTGTTAAATATAACTTATATAAATAATATTCACCTTGTATAAGTAATATAATAATAACCAATACATACATCACATTCAATGATTTGAGTAGTTTGTGAGCAAAAGCTTTATTAAAGATCAAAAAGTAGGGCAGTTCTCCTCCACCTTCACGTGATATATGAAACCTCTTTGACAGACTACTGGTGCCATTGGAGATAACCCGGAATGTGGATATCAGGTTCCACGGGTTGTTCACATAGGCATACTGTTCACTATTCAAAGATTTAGTGAAATCTATCCAGAATCCGGGGTAAGAATTTGGTTTTACTATTTGAAGTCTGTTACGAAAATTCTGAGCCATTGGAGTATTCTGTGTGTTGGCATAAGTAACGAGTTGACTGTTACTAAAGGCAAGTATCTTGATGTTTG